GGCGGTGCCTGCGGGCACAGCCCCGCTCCTCCTCCCGCTCCCCCCGCCGCCTTTGAGGCGTTCTCGGCCTTCCCCGGGCGGGGGGGGCGGTGCGGCCGCTTGTTTTCGGTCGGTGAGGCCCTTTATCTCGGTGTGGAACCGGGGTTACACGTTAACCGCTCTCTGCCCGTTGCCCTTGGCGCACTCGTTATCAGCACAGCTCAGCAGGTTCCAGGCGGCTCTGCCCTTGGGGCTGGGCTGGATAGCAGCAGGAGCTGACTAACGAAGAGATTGGCACCTTTCCCACAGGCGTTCTTGTCTCGGAGGCAAGGCTTTTTCATTCGGAATTTTCGAGGTGAATTAGGAGGAATCCGTGGTTTCCTTGGCGCTGTGCTTTTACATGTCTCTCTTGGCATGAGGCTGCCAATTTTAGCCAGAGCTGAGATGAGTAACTGGGGTCTGAACAGCAGCTCTGACCTCTGTGCAGCGATCCTGGTGCTTTAGACGTGCAGGAAACTTGAGCCTTTCCTAGTGCTGCTGTCCTATGTTGTAGAGTGTAGGTGTGGAACTTCACAGCCTGGTTCTGCCTTCCTGTGAAGCTCTGAACCTCAGCTACAAGCTAAAGTTCGTTATGTTGGTGGTCGTTAGTGGTACACAAGCACCAGTGTTTTGCCTTGAAGCTGTTGGTTTAAGAGCAGAGAGAATTCTGTGGTAGTTTGGTGAATAACTGGCAGTTGATACAAAGCTTTCCATTGAGTCCTGCCTGGTGGCTCTGACCAAAGAACAAACAAGCTGTCTGGTGGCTTCTAACTCCCCTTACACTTGTTTTTCCTTTCAAAAAGGATCATCTTATATTTGCTGTTGAATTTGTATTTTAGTTGAATTTATCTTTTGTCTTTTAAATGTGATACTATTTTTTTTTTCTTCTCCAAAAAGAGAAAGTGTACTTCTTGGTTTAACCCCTGATAAGCCTAGGAAAGCATGAGAGCTTCACTGCAGAAGTGCTTTAAGTTCTTGACCACCTTTAGCTGTTACCACAAGTCAGAACCTTGACTTGTGATCCTTGCAAACAAAGGGAGCAGGGAGGACTTTTCCTTCTTGAGAAAAGCTTTTCAAGTCAGCTGTGTCTCAGGCATTGAATGGTGCTCAGAAGAACAGGTGGCTTTGTGGGGCGTGGAGGTTTTTTTTGTATCTTCAGAACTGAACCACAAATACCATTTATTTTTGTCCCTGGTGTTCATGGCAGGGATACAGGTTAATTTAATCCCAGTTGGGAAAATTTAACTTACTCCTAAGGGAAGAGTTTTGCCACCACTGCCTCGCTGTCATCATGCTGCTGCTCACCTCACTTAGCTTGGACTCCATCTGTCTTGAAGTAGGGCTGATGGGAGACCTGTCTGAAGTCACAGGATGGACTTGACTTTGTGTGGCTGCTTGGGGGTTTTAAGCATCTCAATTCTTTATTTTTCAGTCCTACTATTTTGACCGGGATGATGTGGCTTTGAAAAACTTTGCCAAGTATTTCCTGCATCAGTCCCACGAGGAACGTGAGCACGCTGAGAAACTGATGAAGCTACAAAATCAGAGGGGAGGACGCATCTTCTTGCAGGACATCAAGGTGAGGAGTGGAGCTGTGGGTTGTCCTACAGGAAGGGGAGGAATTTCCCTGGAGCTCCTCTCCCAGAAGGAGCAGAAGCTGACAGTAGATAAGAATCCCGCATTGCTGTGATCTGTGTGTGGCACTCAGCCCAAAATCAAGATATGTGTAGTAATTTGGTAATTAGTGCTGATTGACTAATAACAAGTTCCTGTGTAAGAAGAGGATGTGTAGCCCCGGGTGGTTTACTGTGGGCTCAGGGTAGTTGGAACACAACTGGCTTATCTACCTTAAGTTTAATAGCAAGACCATTTCTTATAGAGAACTCTTGACTTGCTTGTGATGAGAATATGAAATCTCAGGCTCCCAGTTGTTCCTCGTGGCTCACTGCAGGATTTCACAGCGCTGTTTTCTCCGAGTCACTCTCATTAGATCATTCAGAAGAGCAGGAAGTAAGTGGTGTTGTAGGGCCAGCTTAGTGCAGAACAACTCTTAGTGGGGAAAATGGGAACAAAGTGAGTGGTGGGCACTTGAGAAGAGAATTGAGAAGAATTCTCTCGCTTACTACTGAGCCTGAGGACTTGTGAACACCAGACTCTCCACTGGGCACTGCTGAGCTGAAGACTAGACTTGTGCTGGCATCTTCACTGCTTCATTTCTGAGCTTGTGCCTGTTACCTCCTTCCATAGCCAGGTGTTGAATTCATCAGGTTATAGTGGGAGGAGGAAGACAGTAGCTCTGTTGGCTGTTTTGTCTACAAGAGCTCAGAGAACATAACAGGAGGAGAACCCAGGGGATGGGGACAGGTCTGGGACTTGGAGCATGTTCTGTTCTGAGTGTGCACTGTATTTTTGTCCAATTTTTGAAGATACCCAAATGCCTGAACTCAGTCTAAACGGGCTTTGAGACTGACCTAAAAGACTTTGCTCCCTAATGGTCTGTGGGTACTGACAGACAATCTGGTTGTGTGCTTTCCCCTCTAGAAGCCAGATCGTGATGACTGGGAGAATGGTCTGACTGCAATGGAGTGTGCCCTGCACCTGGAGAAGAACGTGAACCAGTCACTGTTAGAACTGCACAAATTGGCAACTGAAAAGAACGACCCACACGTAAGTGGATGCTGAGAGTGTGGCTGTGAGATGAAGGGGCTTGTGAAGGGCCCCTGTGTGTGTTTGGGGGTGAGTTGTGCGTCCCTCATGCTGCTAAAGGTGGAAATATGGTATGAATTTTGTGGCACAGCCTTTCCAAAGGGAAGGGCCCAGGTGTCAACGTGTACCTTGGCTGCTGGGTGGTGGGGTTGTTGGCAGCTCTTTGCAGTGTGTTAGGGTGGCTGAGGGGCTGCCTTACAGAACAGTGGGTGCATGGCTTTGTTCAAAGCCTTCTGCTGCTCTTGGGAACAGAGAGCACTTGTGTCAACAGCATTTTGAAGAGAAGAAATGTATCCAGCTCTACGGAGAAGGCTTGTTTCTGTGGGGGATGAGGTCTTTAAACCAATGGATGCCTGTAAGGCTGTCATCACATTTTGACAGTCACTTCTTCCAAAAGCCCTGACACTTCAGAAAACACAGATTCCTTCCCAGATGGAAGTTACTGGCAAGGCTGGATTGGGGCTTCTTAGTATCAGAAAGAGATTAGCAGGTGTTTGAATCAAAGTCCTCTTGGAAGTGTCCTGCATAAGTTAGAGGGACTTCCTTTCAAAGAAACAATATAGCTGGGCTCTTCTACAGGTGTAAATCCTCACAGTCTCATATTACAGTGCTGTGCAGTGGGGGCTTCTAAAGCTGTTTAGAAACTTTCCTGTTGCTTCCTGTAGTGAGGAAGAGAGGAGCCTTCCTGAGCTGATATCACAGACTGTTTTGGGTTGGAAGGGACCTTAAAGCTCATCCAGTCCCAACCCCCCTGCCAGCAGCAGGGACACCTTCCACTAGACCAGGTTGCTCAAAGCCTCATCCAACCTGGCCTTGAACACTTCCAGGGAGGGGGCATCTACAACTTCCTTGGGCAACCTGTTCCAGTGTCTGACCACCCTCACAGTGAAGAATTTCTTCCCAATATCTCATCTAAACCTCCCCTCTTTCAGCTTAAACCCATTTCCCCTTGTTCTGTCACTAACTGCCCTTATGAAAAGTCCTTCCCCAGCTTTCTTGTAGGCCCCATTCAAGTGTGCCTAGATCAGCTTTGCTTCACTTTGGTCTCGCTTCTGGCATTGCTGAGGCAAAACTAAAGGCTTCTTCCTCTCTGGTATCTCCTGCAGCTTTTACATTTTAATTCTGTGTCTTCTCCTGTCCCTAGAGAGGCTCCGTA